TTTTTTTTTTTTTTTTTTTTTTGCAGAGATATTGTGAAATTAATTTTACCGTAAATTGTGTTAATTTCCCTTAATAATCTGATAATATCATTTAAACTGTTACTCTTAGGTAGATACGCAATATTTTAGGTTTGTTTTGGTAATTCCCTAAATATTTATACAATGGTTGTATAATTATAATATATTTAAGATGCTTAAGTAAAGGGTGCAATTTCCTCTAATTATTTTAGGTTTTGCCTTTGATTAATCTATATAAATATAAAAAGGTTTGGCATTTACCTGAAAAAGTAATTATTTAACCGCCTAAACAATTCGTTTTTACCTTTTATAGTAATTTTTTAGAAAAATTTTGAAAAATGGGCGGTCTTATTTTTTGGAATTTAAATTGTAAAAATCAAATTAAAATATGTTAAGAATCCAAGTCAATAATTGCGGCTGTATTCATTTCATTTATTTGTCTGATATCATTTGGTCCAAATACGGCTGCTATAACAAAGGAAAGTGTTAATAAATAAGTTTAATTAGTGTACATAATTTTAATCAAATCTTTTAATAAACCTGAATTATTGTGATTCTAATTCATGCAGATCAAATAAAAAATATAAATATTCCTTAACAACCAAATATGCTATATTTAATCATAATATATCCTATATTAGATATGCTATATTTAATCAAAATATATCCTACAATATTTGCAATATACGTGAAGTACAAAATGTATCAACAATGTAGAGTGGAATTATCATTAGAAGAATAAAGTTGGTTTTATAAAACTTGATAAACAATTTATGTTTGATTTAAAACTATTTGAATAGACCAAACATTGGGATTCCAAAATAAATAAATAAATAAATTTATTTCAGTCATGGCACTTGCTTATTTTTTCTTTTAAAATGTATGTTATTTGTGGATTTTGGTTCCTAGGATTGTTATGGTAATGATGTTCACATATTTTAAGTCAAATACCACCATGTCATACAAAAATACAACAACAGTTTTTTTTTTTAAAAAAAAAAAATTAATGTCAATCTATAAAATAATTAACAATTTATAACGATAATCGTACACTAACCATATGTAACATATATCATTTGGTTACACATATTTTCATCCATTTATCAACACAAAATGGTATGAAGGTTTGAAGTACATACCAGCAACAAAATTTGTAGACCTCCAAAACTAATTCACCGAAGCTGCAGTATATAGTCGACAATTAACTAGCATACATGTCGATCCCTGCCTATTTAATATTTAAACTTTGTATATTCAATCTCAAAGTTGCAAAAAATTAAGAAAAGTGACATTTAAGTAAATATATATTAAATTGATATCGATTTTTCACAGTACATTTTTGAAATAACTGACAATTAACATACATGTCGAGCGCTTATTTCCCGTTTGATCTGTGTTTATAAAAAATAATCAGAAATTTGTAATAACAACCTAGATCTTTTAAGATTAATCTTGATTGGGTTTTTTTTTTTTTTTT